CGCCCCTCACTGACTCCACCCCACCACCCCACTGTGAAACAGCTCTTCCAGGGTCATAACTTTCGCATGCGAATCTAGTGCATATTTGCAATTTTATTTTCCTAGACCCCTTATCAGCATTTGGCACAGTTCTCTGAAGCACTCACTACCTTTGGCGTTGTTCATTCAGCAGATATTGAGTGCCTTGTTAAGGACTTGGCTCTTGATCCTAAACGTTTAGGAAGCTATTGTAAGATTGTAAGCAGGACAGTGGTATGACCAGTTGTGCATTTTAAAAACACTGTTATGGCAGCTAAGTGGAGGATGAATGGAAGGTGATAGAATGGACACAGGGAGCCATTAGGAGGCTGGAGCAGTGGTCCAAGCAAGAGGGGACAGTAGTGTGGACTAGCGGGTAAGAGCGTGAATGGAGAGAAGTGGACCTGTTTGTTCTACCACACTTTCCTGGTCTGCTTTCTACTTCCTGGCCCTTCCTTTTTGTTACTGAGTCCAAGCTCACTCTTCTCGCCGCAGGACAGGCCAATAAATCGGGAGACGAGGTATTGAGGCGAAGAATAGCGACTTTACTTGGAAAGCCGGCAGACCAAGGAGATGGCAGACTAGGGTCCCCAAAAAACCATCTTGGATGCCTGTTTCTTTTATGGAACAGAGGTGGGGGAGGAGGTGAGGAAGTAAAGTTAAAAGGCCATTAGTTTTGCCTGCTTGGCCAGCATGGGGAGGGGATGTGTTAATTTCTTCTTTTCTGCAGCCATTCACAGGTGGGCAGGGTCAGATTGTCTCCCTGTGAGCTGAACAAAGGCACTTTAATTTAACATTCAGGCAGAGGGGCAGGGTTCCCTGAGGCAGGCCACTATGTATGATTATAATAACAAAAGCAACAAAAAGCAAAGGTTAAAGTCAAAGAAACAGATCCAACACAGAGTCAGAATTGGCTCTTCCCTGTTATATTTTCATTGACCTTTGCGGGCTTCTCTGCCTCTATCCATCTCTGTTGATGCTTCTCAGGGTTCTTTCCACAGGCTGCTTCTCTTAAAGTCATTAGAGTCACTCTCTGAGTAATCTCATCTACTCCCAAGGCTTTGATAACCATTTATTTACTGACAACTCCCAGATTTATAACTGCCAATCCAGTCTCTTCCCTGAGCTTCAGACTTGTGGAAATCTCAGTGTGTATGTACCAAAACCCCCAAAACTCAGCAAAACACGAGTTAATTATCTTCCCTCCCAGACATACTCCTTCTCCCATATTTCCTGTCCTGGTGAGTGGTACCCCCATCCTGCCAGTGCTCTGCCATCACTCGTGACACCTCCCTGACCCTGCCTTCCACAGAGTCATCGCAAGTCCTGCCAGGTTTACCTTGGAGACAGCTGTCAAGTTTTTCCACCCTCTGCTGCCCCACTGCCCGTACCCTAGTGCAGGCCAACATCAGCTTTCTTTCAGACCACCACATGAGTCTCCAAAACTGTCACCTGTATTCTCGCCCACCACCACTGTTTTCTTCAAACTTTTACCTGAGTCATCTTTTCACACATCTGATACTGCTGTTTAAAATCCACCAAAGATTCCTCTTTGCCTACAGAATAAAGCTCCGATTTTTAAATATGGATTAATGAGGCCCTTCATTACTTACCCCCAGCCTACCTCTCTAGTCGTCTCTCTTGCAACTCTCCTTCCAAGACATGTTGAAAGGTTTTCAGTTCTCCAAGCATTGCTCTCACTTTCAACTCTAGGCCTCTAGGCCTTTGCTTTGGACGAGGCTTTTAGGGCTACAGAGACTCTTGTGCCCATGAGGACTTCAGCCTAGGCAAGAACCTGAATCATGAGTTTCACAGTTCATCCAGAACAATAGGTCCTTCTCAGTGTAAGAAGTTGTGAAAATTAAGTTGAAAGCACATGCTTAGAGCATTTCTGAGAGCCCTGGGGTGCCCATGTCCTTGGATAAATGACTAGTTGGGGTTTGGATGCTTCAGGCACTGAATCGGGAAGCTGACTGACAATCCATGTGATGGTTTCCTGCTCAGGTCCGGGCAGCTCCCCCTCCACCTACGCAGAACCACCGAAGGCCAGCAGAGAAGATCGAGGATGTGGAAATCACACTGGTGTGATGATGGCTTTGCCCGTCCGTTACTGCTACAATCAAGGCCAGGCTTAGAGTTTGGCCAGTCTTGTTTTTTAGGCACCTTTGCATGATGATGACTCGAACAGAGCAAAAACAAGGAGGATTATATGTGACTGGGTGGCCTCGTAGACTCCTCCCATGTTTTGAATATTTTGTGCCTTTTTTTGTTGTCATTTTCTATGTCATCTCTCCTACCACAGCACAAATCCTAGAGGGCTCTAGAAACACAGAGGGGGACAGCCCTCTTGCCTAACAGTGGCCCATTTTTGTATGAGACTCAAGACCAGGCCTCGATCAGGGCACAGTCACAGAGATACTGATCATGTGCACTCGTACAGTATATTACTGTGGCCACAAGGATGTGGCAAAGATTCTCATCTTTCTTCAAGTGGCTTCTGCTCATCTGATTGAGTTTAATCAGATCACATTGGCTACATAAGGAAGCAGGAGGAGGGATTTCAGGAGAGGCTGGCTCCTCCCCACAGTTAGTCCCCAAATTGAGAAACTGAAACCGTATTGGAAAAAAATGGACTGCCCTGAGTTTAGTACCAGTTGCATTAATGCACATCTCTTCCACAACTAACAGATTTAAAACAATAACAGTGTCCTTTGTATTAATATTTATGCCATTCATTTAGTATTAGTGGAGCTAACATGGAGGGGCTGAACTAGTAGCCGAATCTCATCCCATCACATAGACTAATAGAAAGGAGGCTGTGGCAAAAGCAGAAATGGAGCTTCCAGATCTGAAATGAGCCAATTTAATGTTCTTTTTATATTTGGGTATTTTTCATTTTAATTTTTACAGTGTATACTATTCTGACCAGTATCCTTAGAATCTGAATGTCTAGATAAGCTGGGGACACATACTTGCCTTGTCGAGCTTCTCTACTGGGGAGGCCTCTAGCATTATTTTATTCCCAAGCCAGTCCACTGGCCCAGGCAGCCACCCACCACATAAAATGCAGCTTCCCAGGTCCAACTGACCTGACATTTCCTTGGGAGGAAGAACCTGTGGCTCATGGAAACCAGCTTCCTGTGAAGGACTAAAGGATTCCACAGGTGCAAACTGACAGGTTCTCCACGTCACAGGGAGAGCCCGGAGTAGCCTTCTCTGCAGGCTAACAAACCCATAGCCGCAGGCGTCCCAGAGTAGGCCTCCAGCGGCCCTCCACCTCCTATGGAAGATAGGGAGTGCATTGCTTAGGGACTAAGGGATGTTTGCCAGTTGCTTTTTTTTTTTTTTTTTAAATCAAATTTGTAGAATTTAATTCGAAAGTTGTCTTATGCTTTGAAAATGCCATCCCTCCTAAGAATCTAAAAACGTGAAATGCTCGCCAAATGTCCCCATGGGATTTTTGACCAAAAGTAAGGTCAGAGCTGAAGAAATTTTCAGTTAGTCATTTGATCACTTCAGTGACAGTACCCATTGATGAATCTTCTCCGTGATTTGAGGATTTTTTTGTTTTTTGCTTCTTAACCTGTTGATCTATTTGAGGTCTTTTTGTGTTTATCAAACTTATTCTTAAGTTTAAAAAAAATTTAAAGGGTGGGTTTTTTTTTTAAGATTTTAAAGTTTGTTGACAAGTTTAAAATCTTCAAAGCACTTTAGAAATCTTCAAAGTGCTGAAATCAGGCAATTCTTGCCACCCAGTCTTGTATTCTCTCTTTAGCTAGCAAAATTGTCCTTGAATCTGGGTTTTCCACATTCTCAGAGGGTTATTTGAAATCTTTTGTTATATTTTAAAATATTTTTTGGAAGAGCTGCTAATTTTATTTTAAAAATACAAAGTTGTAAAAATATGCCTCCTTTTTAAAAAGAACCCCTCCCTCCAGGACATGTAATCCAGTGTCACAGTGCACACGGCTGGGCTCAGAGGAAGCGCCTCTGTGCAGATGTGCTTTCTTTACAGTGGCTGTAAAAACTTTGTATTTATTATGTATAAAATGTTGAATAATAAAAAAATGGAATTAAGTTTTCTAAGTTTTACTTATAAAGAGATTTGGGTAAGCAGGCTTTTCCAAATACCCAGTGCTTCTTATAAAGATACTTCTAGGCCCTCCTTTAAACCCTACAACAGATACAGAGAGGGGGAAGTAAATTAATCCATCCATGGGACAAACAGTCCTGCATGCCACCCACCTGCCATGTGTAATACCCTGAATGCTAGAGATAGAAATAAATAAGTTGTGGTCTTGGCTCTCAAGGTTCTTTCCCAGTGGAGAAAAAAGGTATACACATGAGGACAGTACTGTGTGAGGTGCTGGAAGGGCGAGGCAGGGAGTGTGCTGAGGGAGCTGAGGAGGGAGCTCTGATTCTGCAGCTGGAAGGGCGAGAGGAGGGCCACTGAGTCCCCTCAGAGGATGTGACTGCTGGCTTCTAGGAAGTGGGCACTCTGGACTACTCTGTCCTTTCCTAAACCTCCACCCTGAGTAATGAGTCAAGGGAAGGAGATTTTACTGGTCTCGGGGGTGGCTAGAGGATTCCAGGTGAAAAGGTGAGTCCCTCTGGCTGCCAGCCGGCCCAGTGAGGATGAGAGGTCAGCCTGTTTGGGGAGGGGCCCCACAGCCCTCCTCTTCCAGAGCTGCGCATGTGCGATATGTATTCTTCCAGACGTTTTCTGTGCATAGAACTCATATGCACACACTGCCTTTTTATATGTGAGATTATATAATACATTTAGGTTTACCTCATTCTTTTTGAAGGCTGCATTATATTCCACTGTTCGGATATATCATAATTTAAACATTCCTGCAGTGATGGATGATGAGGTTGTATCCATCCATTTGCTATTTGAAAGTTGAAATGAACACCTTTGTACATAATTCTTTAAAAATTTGTTCCAGTGAAAATATTGGGTAAATTCCTAAATACGAAACTTGAGAGTCAAAAAGGTATGTGTGTATTTAATTTTGTTAGATGTTGCCAAATTGGCCTCCAAAATGACCGTATCCGTTGACACTCCCACCAACAGCATAGAAGACAACATGGACTTTGGAGTTGGAAGGTCTGAGTTAAATCCTGCCTCCCCCCTTGACAGCTGTGGAACCCAGCTTCAGTGTCCCCATCGGAAACATGAGAATAATGCTGTGGATCCAAGGACATGTAAAGTGTGCAGCACAGGGTGGTCCCCACAAGCATCCCTCACCATCACTTTGCCCACCTTCAGCGGCCTCCCCTACAGAACTGCTCCTTGCTATCCTTCCAGCCTCCTAGTAACACAGGGCTGTCATGAGGCCCAATGGAAAGAGTGGGTGTGAAAATGCTTCACCATAAATATGGTAAGGACTATCAGTGCACATTTAATATCTCTTCCATCTCTTGCCTTCCCCTGCTAATGAAAGCTGCTCGCATTCAAGACTACTGTTGGCCCCAGAGGCCTGGTCTGTGACCAGCGGACGGAATTAAGCTAATCATCCCACCCCTGTATCATAGCTACATTGGGGCCTCCTTCATCACAGGAACTAAAGGTAAGGCAGCTGAACCAGGTTCGCAGCACATCACCTAGATCCCTTTCCTCTGACCCACCACCCCAGCCCACATCCACAGGCAGACAGAAGCAACTGGGAGGATATCCTCTGGCCGCAGCCCTGCCACCGCTTGATGGACGCCCTTTCCACTGGGCTGCCACAACCCTGACTTTAAAAGAAGTAGAATGAGATGATTTCCAAGGGCTTATCCAACTCTTATGTTCTAGATAAGTTCAGTTTCTAGATGCAGAGTGAGAACATCACACAAAAAGGTCACAATATTTGAGAACAGACTTTACGAACACAGAGACTTCTCAGGATGGCCAAAAGTTGAAAATTCAAGCCACTGAACTCTCCACTGGGACAGAGCAAACTGTCCTCTGGGTTGTGGTCACACCCGGGCTGCACTATTCACTCACTGCCCAACGAGCCCGGCCAAAGCTTTCGGTTGTGAAGCCCGTTATTTCCTAACCCTCTGAGGGGCCTTGTAACAAAATCTGGCTGCATCTTTGCATTTAATGCTCATTATGAAGCTGTTTTTCATGACTAAAATACGTTACAGAAATTTTAGTTTAGAAGGGAGAGAATTGTCCTGAAATCCTACAACTTAACCAGTGTAAGTTTCCTCCTAGATGTTCCCTGTGTTTGCTGTTACTGCTTGATCTGCCAAGAACCCCGTGAATGCCAAAGAGCATCTTGTTTCTGGACCATTTTCCCCTGGTCCCACTGGCCAAAAAAACAAATGCAGCATTTCTGCTGTGTCTGTGTCAGAGAGCCCTGGTCTGAGAATATTTTCCTGGAATGTTATCCTGAAACAGCAGAAATGAACACACCTCTTAGGGTTCACACCTCTTCCACACTGTGTGCTCAACACCTAAGCATGTGTTTTGTCACTCACTTGCTCCTATGAGGGGCAGGGGAAGAGCCGGGTCAAGAGGCCTGTATTCAAGTCCCTGGGCTGCCTCGATTACCTGTGCCCTTAAGGTCATCCCTTCACCCCTCTGGGCTTTCCTCTTCTTGTCTCTAAAGTAGGAACGAGAAGACAATACAAACTTCATAAGACCCAGGGGGATCAAATAAGATAATGTACAGATAAGCTGAAAATATTTTTGACTAGTGGATGAGCATCTGTAAGAAGAGAACTACCTGTACCAGACACGTCACGTCGCATCTCACAGATGGGTCCACACCTAGTGCCACCAGGATTCCTCCAGAGAACGATGGGCCAGGACCACCTCTATTTGTTCAGTCAGCAAACTTACTGCCCCAGGCCACGTTCTGGGCATTGAGACATAAGTGACTCAGTTCCCATCCCCGTCACCAACGGGCTCACATCTGGTGGGGGTGACGTGGGAACAGCAGTTTCAAGCCAAAGTGCTTCTCCCAGGACAGGGAGATGACCAAGGGGCAGTAGGACCCCAGAGCAAGAGCCTCTGTCATTTCTCCCTCTCAAGCTTCAGGCAGGTAGAGGAGGTGGTACCCATGCCTGTACCACAGCCCCAGGGAAGAGCCCGGATCACCAATGGTGAGGTGCAGAGCCATGGAGCAGGGAGAGTCTCACGGACGTGGAAACTCTTCCCACTGTGATTCGCCCAAGTTCTCTCAGGAAGGTAACTGGGAGTAGAACCTAGAACCTGGCCTCCAGAAGACCAGGCCAGCAGCTCTCTGCAGAGCCTAAGTCCAGTTTTTAGAAAAGAGGGAATCGGGGGCCTGGATTCTTATCCCTGCTCTGATGTGTGACCCTGGTCCCTCTCTGGCCCTCAGTCCATATGCACAGCAAGGGTGACACTTTTGACATTAGGGAACAAACTCAGGCAGGCAGCCCCTGCGTACTGAACACCTGAGTAGCAACTATTGAAAACCTGGAGAGAACCGGAAGCTCAGAGCGTTTTTTTTTAATACATCTTTGTTGGAGTATAATTGCTCCACAATACCGTGTTAGTTTCTGTTGCACAACAAAGCGAATCAGCCATATGCATACACATGTCCCCATATCGGAGTGGTTTTAAGCACAGGGTTCTATCCCTGCCCCCTCTGCTGCCCGGGACTGCAAAGACTAGAGGTGCAGCCTTCCCAGCTGGCACCCCTCTGAGCTCTTCCCCTGCTTGGCCTTTGCCAACCCTTTTCCCCACACTTGCCTCATTCCCTGGAATGCCCAGCCTGTCTCTGGCCTTCCAGACTTGCTCCTCCAGGAAGCATTCCCTCCAGGTAAGTTAAGTTGTGCATGTGCTCCCTGAAGTGAGGCAGGCATGTGCTAGCAGATCTGCCCCATGAAGAAAGGAAGGCTTAAGGGGGGTAAAGGGGTCACTGTCCCAGGAGTTGAGTCATATAATTTCCTGAGCTCCTTTTCTGCATTCTCTAAGCAGTCTGAATTCACTGCAGTCCTGTGAGGTACTTGCCCCAGATGATGTAGCTGGTTTAACAGCCTCCCAGGATTCAAGTTCACCTCCCTCCTGCGGCCCTGCATGTCCCTCAGTTCAAAGGACACTAACCACCCCCCCCGCCGGGCTCAGGCCTAGGCACCCAGGGCCAGAATGGAAAAAGAGAAGCAGGGAGGGATTTAGTTTAGACAGAAAGCTAGAATCATCTACCCGATGGAGGCAGTGGGCAGGCACACTGCTGGAGCACGGCAGGTAATGCCCTGCAGCTCTGCCTAATTGGGAGCCCAGATTCGCTGACATTTTGTTTAAAAAAAAAAAAAAGTATGACAAGAGTCACAATCCTGCTGTGCCAACTGTGATGATCTCGTATCACTTACCCTCTCTGAGCCTCAATTTTCTCACCTGTGAAAGAGACACCTACATCACAAGGTGGTTGGGAGGAACAAGATACTGGATAGAAAGCACAGGGCACAGGGCCTGACGCAGCTCAGTAACGGTGGCTACTGCAAGCTTTGGTCTTTCTGAATCCCAGGAGGCGGGAGAATGGCCTTGGCAGACCTAGGCAGCTGGTGACTCCTGGTGGCCGCTGGGAGCCAGGGCATGAGGGCCAGACCTTCAGCAGCCTTAGATTCAAAAGATCCTGGACTCCTAGAGTCTTTGACTGTTAGACTTGCTGAGTCCTCAAATAAGAGAATTTAGTCACTTATGAACATTCCCTGAGGCTTTCTCTGGCTCTGAGGCCTGATCCCAGGGAATACTTTGCTCCCATCCTGGCCTCTGCCAAGAGCTTCCTGACTGAGATGGAGGGAAGCAGACACAAACGTGGTGGGGGGGGTATAGAGATGGAGGAGGCTCCTAGCCAGCCTGGCAGGTGAGGAGAGGCTCTCAGTGAGGGGATCCTGAAGGACAAATTTGAATTAGGAGTTGGGAGGGAAGAACATTCTGGGCAGAGAGAAAATCACACGCAAGACACATTCAGAGTAGCAACAAAGTGAAGATGCAGCTGAGGCCAGCAGGGCCACATCCTGAGGGTAAGGAGTTTCTCTGCAGGCAGTGCAGAACTTCAAAGGGTTGGACGTATGACCACAACACCTTAGAAAGTCACTCTGGCTGTGGCAAGGAGGGAACTAGGTGGAGAGAGCAGGTCGAGGACAAGGTGGCCTGCAGTGGCAGCAGGAATGGAAAGGAGAGTTAGACGCAACAGCCCCATGCCTTGGTGCCCAAGAAGAAGTGGGGTGTGAGGGGAAGAGACGCTTATGACAGGGATAGATAATGCCTAGGAGGCAGCTGGGTATGTCACCCAGAGCTCAGGGGACAGCTGGGCCGAGGGCAGTGAGTGAGCTGGGATCAGCAGAGTGTAGATTTGGGTATTTAGCCAACACTTAAACAGCCTTTGTCATGTGCCAGGAACTTTACAAATACTAATGCATCGAGTCCTTACAACAGTCTTCGAGGTAGATACTATTTTCCCATTTTACACAGGAGTAAACTATGGCACAAAGACATTAAGTAACTTGCTCAAAATCATTCTGCTACTAAATAGTAGAGCAGAGATTCAAACCCAGACAGTCTAGCTGCAGAGTCCTGGCTCTTAGCGCTCTCCTGCCCATCCTGGAAATAGTCTGCAAAACGCTGGGACTCAGGAGAGACACTGTAAGGTAATAAAGGAGGCTGAGAGTTCTAGAGTAAAGCCTTGAATCTCAACTGAGCGGACCCCCAGAGGTCAGCCCCTATCACTCAGGGACAGAAGTCCCCTTCAACACCTGGTGACTAGCAATGGCCGTCCCACTGACCCTCCTCCACGCCCCAGGTTGGGGAAGGAAATGGGAGTGCCCAGGTTCCACCCTATTGGGTCTGCCATGTACTCCAGATGCTTGTTGTGTGGCTTAAATCTGATGCTGATGTAAGCGAGGCCCAGGCCCAGCCCACGGATGTCCTCCCCGCCACACAAGGGGTCTGCCTCTGGGGCAAGAATGCAGCCCCAGTCTAAAGGCAGGCCTGTTGTACCGAGTACTTGACATCACTCTGGTTTTTCAGGATCCTTTCCACAGGACCCCTCTCGGCTGTCTCCCCTGCTCCCTCCTCAGAATTCACACGGCCCCTCCTCAACCTCGGTCTACCCTGGGTGCCTGAAACAGAAGGGCCCAAGGACCAGGACCAGCTTAGACCGAGGATGAAATTTCCACTGCTCCAAAAGCCACTGTCCTTTGCTGCCTCTGGGCCTTTCTTCATGCTGTCAGCACAGAAGGCGGGCCAGCTCTGCCCAGCTCTGTGCGGAGGCAGGAGGAAAGGGAGCCCAGCCTGGGTCTCCTTGAGCCTCCACCCAAAGGCTTCCCTGTTCCCTGAATGCTGCAAAGAGGCAAGCAGATGCCAGTTTAAATGTAATTTTTTTCCACTTTTGCCAGAGATAAAAAACAAAACAATACAGTAATCCCCCCCCCAACCCACACTTTGTTTTTAAACAAACAGGCCAGGTCCTGCCAGGCCTTCTTACCCACTAAATGCCACCCCCATCCCTGCACCCCTACTGGCCCTGGAGCCTCTGGGGCAGTGGGGAGCTGTCCTCCAGCTTCAGGCTTTGGACTAGAGCTCCAGCTCAGGCAGGGGAGTTGTGGCACTAATGCCAGAGCACAACCTTCCTGGCTTGGTCCACGCTCACCACGTGGCTCCCAGAGTAGCACCAGGCCACGGCATTGACGGCGGCGCTGAGGAGAGGGAGAGGCAGGCTTCAGGGGGCGTCCACTGCTGGGCTCTGCCCCTCATTACTGAACCTGGGCATTTTGAAGCCCTCTCTGAGCCCATCTCCTCACCTGTAAAATGGGCTCAGAGGGCTGTGGTGAGAGCAGACCCAAGTGCACATGGGAAGACACCTTGTGAACTATGAAGGGCTCAGGTGCGGGGGCAGGGAATGGAAGGTACGGGACAAGGGCTGGGGGTTCCAGGATGCCCAGTATGTCAGGACCTGGAATCAGCTTAGCAGGACTGGGGCAGGGTGGGGGGTGGGGTACTGGGGCTGGGGTGGGCAGGTGGGTGGGCAGTGGCCGTGCTCACCAATGGGGTCCCCGAAGGCTACTCTCCAGTTTCCCAGTGTCTACATCCCAGATGTAAAGAGCTCCATCCCAGGAACCTGCCAGTGCGTAGCTTCTGTCTGGGCTGCAGGGACCACAGCACAGCAAGAGAGAGGAGATTAGAGGTAAGGACACAGACAGAGACAGATGGGACACACTCAGGCATGGGTGCTGTGCTCTCATGGACACACCTGAACACAGCTTTGGTCCAGTCAGAACCGCACCTGAAGCCATCAGCCCTGAAAACAGACAGGGTCGGGTCAGAATGGAGGCGGCTCAGCCAGGAACTTACGGAGCTTCCTCTCTCCGGCAAGGGCTTGGCCACCTCACCAGGCCCTGATCCAGAGGGGCCTCCAGGGAGGGCCCCCCGCTGACGGGCCTTTTACAGGGGACAAGGCCCAGCTGCCACAGCCAAAGCCACAGGATCAGTGGGCACAAAGCAGGTACCTGAACACCTGGCGGACATTGCTGACACGCAGGTCGATGACCTTGAGCGTGTCGTCTCGGGAACAGCTGAGCAGATGCAGCTGGTCGTGGCTGAGGCTCAGGGAGGTGACCCGGCCCTGCACAGGGATGACCTGGGTGCAGCGGGGTCCCCTGAGGAGCAGGGACAAAGGCGAGGATGAGCAGCAGCCACCCTGACAAGGCTGCTCCTGACAGACTAACGAAGTCCAGAGGCGCCCCTGGTCTCAGGCCACTAAGGCCAAGGCTGACAACTAACCTCCCCCTGCAGCCAGCCCCTTCCATCAGGAACTTACTAAACCCTTGGGTCACTAAAATAAGTGCTGGGGGCGGGGGCGGGGAAGCAATGAAAGTCTGTCTTTAAATATGTGAAAGAGTGCAAAGGGTTTCAAAAGGCAATCTCTGCAGATGAGTCAGAAGCCTGAGGCAGGCCTGGCACTGGCTCTGGCACTGGTTCCAGCACTGGCTTTTATAAGCCATTCAAGCCTAATGCTGGGCTCTTAGGCTCAGAAAACAATATAACTTTTGTTCCTTTTGACTAAAAAGTGGTGATTATATGGGAAAAAAGAGATTCTCCATTTTGGTTGGCAAGACCCAGGCAGGGTCCCTTGGTTGGACCGAGGGCCAATAAGAAGGAGGCACAGGTCTCCAAGGGCAGCTGAGCCTTCAAGGGGCCGAGCCCAGCACAGAGGCCACCAGAGCCTCGCTTCCCCAAGGTACCCTCAGCAGCTCCATGGCTAGAAAAAGGAAGAGAATACAGGAGCCCTGCCCCCACCTCCACCACCCACAGCCTGCGCCTATCACCTGCTGTCCCAGAACCGGATCTTCTGGTCATTGTGACCACTAATGATGACATGGTCCCCACACACCACATCGTTACAGTAGGAAAGGACATTGATGGTCCTGGAACCTAGGGACCAAGGAGTAGAGCCCCAGCCTCAGAGAAGGGTTATCAGGAGCCAACCCACTGGATGTATGGAGAAGCTGAGGCCCAGAAGCCCCAGAGGTAAGGTGTCCTCCCAAAACTAGAACCCAGGTCCCCTGTTCCCCAGCCCAAAGCCTGAGGTCACCTAGAAACCAGGGAAAGCATCATCGATGGGGGGGATAGAAGAGGGGCCTTGGGAGGTTTCATCCCAAATGCCTGTAAATCTTGAAGCCACTCCCAGAGAGCAGGCTGAGGTCCCCCATAGCCTGGCAGGGTCCTGGCCGTTGGGAAAGGGGAGGGTTGGGCCTCACAGTAGGCTCGGCCTAGGTCCCACTCCTTCACTGTCCGGTCCCGGCTCCCGGTCACCGCCTGATGCATCGTTAGCTTGAATTTGGCAGCCGTCACCTTGTCTGTGTGTCCAGATAGTGTCTCCTGCCACCATCCCAGATATGCATCAAGGGTATGGCCAAGACTCCATAACAAACCCCTCCAGGTTCAAGGCATGACCCCTGACCCCCAGGCTGCCTCCCCAGTCAGGCCTCACCTTGGACTGTGCCTCCCCAACCTTCCAAAGCTGGGCGGCCTTATTGTAAGTAGCTGCCAGTACCTGGGAGCCCTGGGGAGATAGGAGGGGAAAGGATAGGTCCTGAACCTGGGCCTGGCCAGAGGCAACTGCAGGCCAGAGAGCTAGGGTCAGGGCTGCCTCAGAGCTTCCCCCAGCCCAAGTCACCCAGGTAGGCAGGGGAGAATCGAGGCCCAGGGAGGAGGATTGTGTAGGAGCTCTAGGATACCCGTGATGTTCCCTCAGGCCCCAAAGCCCCCACCTGCCCAGTGTGGAAACTGGGGGAGGGACATCCTATGCCCCCCAGGTCCTCTCACCGAGGGGTCAAAGTCCACACTGGTGATGCTGCCGCCAGCTCCTTCAAGGGTCTGGTTGGCCTCCAAGCGCCCTGGGGGGACCAGGAGAAGGGACAAGTGAAGTGAAGTCACTAATCTCACGAAACAGAGGAGCCTGGACTGTGAGTGGGAAGATGAGTCTCTCCTAAATTAGAGGACAGAAGTGCTGGGCCTGTTCTTGGGGGAGCGGCCAGGGTTGGGGAGTGGGGGTGGGGGTCTAGCTGGAGGCTGCACCTTCCTGAACTGCCAGCAGAGGGCCCCGGGGGGCTGCAGGTCATCTCGCGGATGTCTGGAAAAGACCAGAGAGAAGGGACTGTCCCTAGGTCACACGGCAAGCCAGAGCCAGGCCAGCTGGAGACTCACCTCCTCCAGGAAGCCTCTGGGAGCCAGCTCTCACTCCCCAGTACACCCCCCGCTACAGAACACAGAGTAGATAGCTAACATCTGCCTCACGACTGAGTTCTGAGGGCTCAGTGGCACTAGAAGAGGAGGTGGCCTGGTGGGGGGGCCCAAGGGCCTGTCCCTGTAGAACCTCGTGACATGGTGCCTCCACCACCCCAACAGGGACCATCTGAGCTCAGCCCTCCCCACCCCGCAGGCCTCGACTTCAGGAAGTGGGAGGCTCTGCCCTTCTTAGGAGCAGTGAGCCCAGAACTCTTGCCGCTGCCCACAAGAATGTCCCAGGTGAGGAAACGCAAAGACTCAAGACCCCTCCCACCAAGGAGCAAGCTGAAGGTGAGGCTGGCCTGTGGGCAGGGACCCTCACCTCCCACGACATTCCAGAGGAGGATGAGGCGGTCAGCCCCTCCAGTGGCCAGGAGGCTGCTACTGGGGCCAAAACGAACAGCATTGACCTCAGAGAGGTGGGCATCCTGTGGGGAAAAGGGGAGGTCGGTGCCCCTGGTCCTCGCCACACACACCTCTTTGCTCACACTCACAGCTCTCTGTCACGCATCTTTGCACACATCAGGTCTCTGTTCGAACACTGAGTTTCAAACTCAGCCCCACCAGGGCTCATCACCTCTGACTGGACCCCTGCAGCAGCCTCCCGCCATGTTCCCAATACTCCACTACCTGGCCTCCTGGTCTCCCGGCCTCCTGTCTCTCCCTCATTATAAAATGCCAAAGGGCTCCCACCACAAGCTGTGGGAGGAAAACTCCTGCTCCCAGTGAGGGGCCCATCCTTGCTTCCCCAGCCTCCTTGGACCACTCCTGGGACCTGCACTCCCATATCGTACCCCATGCACTTGGCCCAGCTCCTCCTTACCAGCACATCCTGAGCTCGGGTAGGAAGTCGGGCGGCCACGCACACAGGGATGCTCTGGTAACGCTGCTCAGGGGCTCCCCCAACTGAGTGGCCTCTCCTCTTCTTGAAACTGCAGGAGGGGGTCAGGAGGGCATTCAGCAAGGCCTTCTGACACGGGAGCCTCGAGCTCTCCTGAAGCAGCAACAACAGGAAGCAGACACGGAAGGCAGCAGAACATGGCCAGGAGGTGCAGCAGGCACGGTCCCCACCAGCCTCTGACCCAGGGGTCAATGTGGAGACAGCAGGGGCACCAAGACAGGCACAGAGGCAGGGCAGGGTTGTTGGTGGATGCAGAGAAACCTCGGAGCAGGGTTTCAGTCCTGGCCTGGCCACTGCTTGGCACTGTGACCCTGAACGAATCCCTGACATTTCTGAACCTCCATTTCCCAAATGAGTAGTAGCTGCTTTCTGGCCTCAGGCTGGAGCTTTTGGTCCCCTGTGACGACCCAGGATGAGGGCCAGAGCCTGGAAGATAGCCAGGCAGGGGCTGGGAATGAGGCCATGCACCCAGCTCCTGCCTCTGGGACTCAGCAGAGACTCACACACAGAGTGCTGGGCAACGTACGGAAGGACACACTGAGACACATACACAGCCCAAGCCTGGGCTCCAGGAGCCTGACACATGCATCCAAGGGGCCCAGCACCTTCACACACATGTCGGTGCACACACACACTTACTCCAGAAGCCCCTTCACCACATCCACACAGCGGGACAACGTCAGGGAGGTGGCGGAGGCAGACCTGGGGCAGAATCGAGAGAGATGTGCTAAGGGACTGGCCGGTGGCTGTGCAGACAGCAGTCATTCATCCCTACACTCTTGAGCCTGGACAAGAACTTTGCTCCTCCAAGGCCAGGAGAGCACGATGACCCAGAGGAGTCCCAGGAAGATGGAGGAAGGGAGGGATTTGGAATGAAGTCTCCCAGTTTCACCATGATGGTTAAGACCTGCCTCACCACCCAAGTGCCCCCCAACAAAATTTCACGGGAGGCTGAGCTGGGGCCTATGGAAGGGGGTGAAGGCGCCCCCAGGCTGAGAAAGCACAAGGCTGGGAGCAGGGGGCTGGGAAACCTAGATCCCCAAAATACCCAGGAGATCATGTGTCCTGAGATGACCTGGCCCGCCAGGGCTAAGGCTTTGGGGACTGCATCTCATGCCCCTCCCCAGGGTTCCTTCACTACCCTGAGGCCTGGACACCAGCGACCTGCAAGAGAGGGCTGCAGGGGCTTCCCTGGTGGTGCAGTGGTTAAGAATCCGCCTGCCAATGCAGGGGACACGGGTTCAAGCCCTGGTCTGGGAAGATCCCACATGCCGCGGAGCAACTAAGCCCGTGTGCCACAACTACCGAGCCTGCGCTCTAGAGCTCGTGAGCCACAACTACTGAGCCTGCGTGCCACAACTACTGAAGCCCACGCGCCTGGAGCCCGTGCTCCGCAACAAGAGAAGCCACCGCAATGAGAAGCCCATGCACCGCAACGAAGAGTAGCCCCCACTCGCCGCAACTAGAGAAAACCCGCGCGCAGCAACGAAGACCCAATGCAGCCAAAACTAAATATTTTAAAATTTTTTAAAAATTAAAAAAAATGAAAGGACTGGAGGAGAGCTTACAGGCTGGGGAATGCGGGGAGGGCAGTCTCAATGCCAGGAAAATCAAGACAGACGGGGCAGACTGGGGGTGAGGGGCATCCAAGGACTGAAGCCTCAATCAGGTCCCACCCATATGAGCTCCCATCTACACATGCTTCACAGGCATTCAGGTACGCTTACCTAAGCTTGTACACACATATGCTCTGATGTCCCTGTGAGTATGCACACACATGCCTGTGACAGCTGAACCCTGGACCTTGCCAACAGGTTCCCTCCTGGTCACACCCTTTCACCAGCCTGACATCCCACCCCCAGAGCTCTGGTCCTGGGAAGGAGAAAAAGGGGGTGAGGACAGAGGTTGGGGTCCCGGAGGTGGCACTGAACCTAAGTGGCTCCAGGCACTGGAGGTCAGATCTGTCCTGGGGTCCAAGCTGTACCCCAGTCTCTTCTCAAGCCCCCTCTCAACCCAAGAGCTGGCCCAAGGTCCTAGAGGAAGACTCTGGGATGGGACCCAGCTCAGAGCTGTGGGTCAGTGCTCACCTGAAGGGCCTCTTCCATTTCTCACCAGCCTCACTCTCCAGGAACGCTGGCTCAGCTGCCAGAGCCAGAGTGTCTGCTTCCTCTCTGATCCCATCTCCTAATGTGTCTGGGCTCCTGGGGGAGAGAATTAAGCTCAGATGGCTAAGGGACCAGGCCAGCCCCTCCGCGCCACGGTGAGGATGTGCACACCCAGAGATGAGGGTGTCCCTGTGGACGCACGTGTGGCGGGCGCAGGTGCTGGCTCCTACGACCACACGTGTCTGCACGTGTCCTGGGCTCGTTCTGCCTGGGGGCCTCGGCACCGCGGCTGTGCACACTTGCAGTAAGGTGCACCGGCGGCCGCAGGCAGGTGGGGGCGGGGTAGAACTGTAGCGGCCCCGGGGCAGGGCACTGCAGAGGCCGCGGGGCAGAGCCCGCGGCAGAGCCTCGGCAGGCAGGTCTCAGGCGCATCCTCATTCTTACTCGCTTATGCTCACTGTCCGCTTGGCTGCCTTCTTCAGCTCCTGGGACACCCGCGCCTGCTTGGCCCTGGGATAGAAAAACTTCCTGAGAGTCGGGTCGCTCCCGTGCCCGGAAGGCGGGGCCGGCCCCGACCCGACAGGCCACGCCACCGCTCACGTCCCCGAAGGGCGGGCCCAGCGCTCTCACCTCTCGCGGCGCTCGTTGCGCAGGTTGCGCTCGGCTGCGGCGCGCGCCTTGCGCCGCACCAGCCGATCCAGCAGGTCGCGTGCCTCCTCCTCGAGCCTGCGCAGAGCCGCCTCCTGGTGCCCGACGTGCACGCGCAGCGCCTCATAGGCCGCCCGCTGTGCCGCGTTCAGCGCGCGCCGCGCATCCACCTGTCCCTCCTGCTTCTCCCGCGCCTCCTGCAGCTGCGCCACGCGGGCCTCCAGAGCTGCCAGCCTGGAGAACGCGGAGAGCCTCCATCACCGCCCTGGGGAACCAGTCTTGGAGCTGGGACAAACTTGCCCCTGGCCACGCGGCCAGCCGGCCGGCTAAGCCACGTCTCCGACCAAGCCTTCGCAGTCCTGCAGTTCCTGGCCTCTGCGACCAGCCACAGGCCTGGGGGCGTTTGAGGACGTGGGGAAAGCTGTCGGGCCCTTCCGGAGACCCGCGGGGTGACCCTGTCCCCTCCCCCTGGCAGTGATGGCCCCAAGCCTCCCCAAGGTGCGCAGGGGTGACCCCTCTCGCACCGCCCGCGCCTCACCTGCTTTGCCGCTCCTCCAGCTGTGACTCCAGGGTGCCCAGGGCTGCGCTCTTCTCCACCACCTGGTAGGCCATCTGCAGCGGCGGAAGGGCCGGACAGGTAGGCATGGGTGCCTCTGGGCAGGGCCTCCAGCCCCTCTCTGGCCGACAGGCTAGTAGGACGGGGTCTGCCTCCCCTCTCACCTGCCCCCTAGCTCAAGAGAAAGCTGAGGCGCAGACAGGCGTTGCACCAAGCACAGGAATGCACTGCTGTTTCAGGGATCAACGGAAGGGCCTTAGGCTCTTTAGCCTAACACCCGAGTTTCAATTCTGGCAGTGCCACTTATATTCTCTGTGACCCGGGGTAGTCATTTAACCGCTCTAAACCAGCTCTGTTTCTTCACCTGTCCAGTGGGAATGGTTGTGCTTACCTCATTGGGTAACACGGAATTACTATAAGGAACTGTATCTCAAATAATGATGATTGGTCCTATAGCACTTAAGTGTGCTAGGTCTTATTCCGAGCACTCTACAGTATTAACTCTTTTAATCCGGTAGGAACTGCCATTCTCCCCCATTTTACACATGAGGACATTGACACAGAGCGGTTCAGTGTCTTGCCCAAAGTCACACAGCAGAACTGAGATCTGAACCCAGGCCACCTAACATGCTCCAAGTAAAGCGCTGGGGTATAGGAAGGGTTCAAGGGATGTGTGTTCTTTTCCCCACCTCTCCAAGCCCTGGCCTACCCAAGCGTAGATCCCAGAGAGCAAGAAGGAGCTCTGAGCAGAGGCACACAGGCTAACAGGAATGGACTGTGGGAGCGCCAGGCCCAGACTGAATACCAGAGCTGCCCCCAGCCCCAGAGTGGGGGTGAGCGTCATCTCATCTGTCCCCTGCCCCACTGAACAGTCCTTCATCCGAGAGCCAAGAGCTGGGGAAACCACAGAACTGAGGGGTCGGTGGGAGAGACAGATGCTAAGCAAAGCAGTTCCCACCACTGTGGCAAGAGGAATATGAAATAACCAAGGCTGGGGGCTCTTGCTGCTGACCTATCCCTGTGTTCTTTCTCACATGGGCCTGGCGAGAGATGGGCTGAGGAGCAAGGCTGGTGTCCACCTGCACTGACTCCTGGTGTGAGTGGGCCGGGGTTGGCCCAGTTTATAACATTTATAATTCCTTCCACCATTAAACAATCTGATCATCACTTCCACTTCCTCACCTGTCATATACTTTCACTGATGTTTTGGCATTCAGTATTTTTTTGATGCTTTTCAAAATCCAAATAATAGAGATGGAAAACAGATTAGTGGTTAGGAGTTAGGGATGATTGGAGGAGAGGGGCGAGTTGTGACTAAAACAGGGTAGCAAGAGGGAGGTCTTTGTGGTGATGAAATAGTGCTGTATCCTGATGGGCATGCAAATCTACACAGGTGACAAAATGACAAAGAACTATATACACTTCATACCAATATCAATTTCCTGGTTGTGTGTACTATAGTTACATAAGATATAACCAATGGGGGATATTGGGTAAAGGGTGCACAGGACCTCTCTGTACTGTCTTTGCAACTTCCTGTGGATCTATAATTATTTAAATAAAAAGTTAAAACAACAATACATGCTTGTTGTGATATGTGAAACAGTACTAAGAATTAAAGAAAAAGCCCCTCCCCATCCCTTGGCATATCCAATGGGAACTGAGTGGTTTGTGTCTAAGGACATGATGAGGAGGGAATGCTGAGGGCGAGGGGTGCGTGGAAGTATCCCAAACAAAGGGAACCATGAGCTCAGGGACAAGAGAGTGGCAGGAAATGCAACACTGAGGCCGGAGGACTCAACTTGGGAGCCAGGCTAAGGAGCTTTGGAAAATATGTACCAAACTGATCATGGGGAGAGGTGGTGAAAGGGGCTTCCACTTTTTTACTCTATGGGCTTCTGTTCTCTTGAAATGTTCACAACAAGCATGTATTTGTATATTACTTGTCTTTCTTTTAATGGAGATCATTTTTATTTTATTTATTTATTTATTTATTTATTGCGGTATGCGGGCCTCTCACTGTTGTGGCCTCTCCCGTTGCGGAGCACAGGCTCCGGACGCGCAGGCTCAGCGGCCATGGCTCACGGGCCCAGCCGCTCCGCGGCATGTGGGATCTTCCCGGACCGGGGCACGAACCCATATCCCCTGCATCGGCAGGCGGACTCTCAACCACTGCGCCACCAGGGAAGCCCTGGAGATCATTTTTATTATTAAAATATATCACTCTGGGCTTCTGGGCTTCCCTGGTGGCGCAGTGGATGCACGGGATATGGGTTCGTGCCCCGGTCCAGGAAGATCCCACATGCCGTGGAGTGGCTGGGCCCGTGAGCCATGGCCGCTGAGCCTGCGCGTCCAGAGCCTGTGCTCCGCAACGGGAGAGACCACAACAGTGAGAGGCCCGCGTACAGCAAAAAAAGAAAAAAAAAATCACTCTGAGTACATAATGGAGAATGGATGGGGGTGCCAAAAGAGGAGTGGTCCAGCGAGGAATGAGAGTAACTTGGACCAGGCAGACGGGGCACAAAAAATGGAAGTTGATGGATTTGGAGGCAGGATCCATGAGCTGGTGACTAGCTCAAGATGGAGGGCTGCTAGGGGTTAAAGGTGTCCCTGGGTTTCCAGCCTGGTGACTACCAGTGGAGGGGGGGATGATCTATCTCATTTATCACCTAGTCTACAAATATTCATTAGCATGGACTGTGGAGACAGGCCCCAGGGATACAATGGAGGCAAACCAAAGGCATCCCAGTTCTCGGGGTTCTCACAGCCCAGAAGGGGGCTCAGATTTTGAGAATCACCTCTCAAATGTAGAGCTGCAACTACAACAGAAGCTCTGAGGGAGAGGCTACCACTACGTTCATAGCCCCAAATACACATTAGTTGAGCAAGGGACTTGGCATGTGGTAACTAGGTAGGTGCTTACTGGCCCCTCAGCCTCCTCCAGTGGACTGGAAGCTCCATGGGGCCAGGTCCTGTTTACTGCTGCATTGCCTATTCCTTGGATATAGTGACTGTCAATAAATATTTGTTGAAAGAATGAATGGAGATCACAGAAAGGGGATTTGTGCGGGAGAGAGTTCAAATCCTGGCTCCAGCTCTCTAAGCTTTCGTTTCCTCTGAAATATACAGTTGTGGAGGATTAGCTGAAGTAACGCTTAGCCCAGCGTTCTCAACGTGGTGTTGGCCATATAATCACAGGGGCGATGGTTAGTCTGATTTTAGGCGTGAAGTCCAAAAAGCAGCTGAGCAAGAGAGTCTGGAGCTCATAAGAGAAGGCTGAGCTAGAGATGGGTCTGGGAGTTAGCAAACAGAAAGTCCTTGGGAGTCAGTTAACCCACCCAAGCTCCAAAGAACACCCACATCTGAAGGGAGGGGGTTAAAAAGGAGGGAAAGTAGCCAGAGAAGGAAGTTCAGAAGCAACAGCTACATAAGTGAGAGGAAAACCAGGACAGTGTGGTGAACCAGAAGCCAAGAGACACCATGGGGCAGGGGCGGGGGGAAGCAGTGGCAGGTGGAGCTAGCACACCCTGCCATGGAGATGGACCACCTTACTTTTGGTCTGCAAATGTGTATTGAGTGTCAGTTGGTACTGGGCCCTGAGGTTTGCAGGGCAAGTGGTGAGCAGAGCAGGCTGGACCATCCAGAAGGGGGAACAGAGGCTGCCTGTTTCCTGCACCCCTCACACACCCCTCCCTGAGCTCTCACTGCACTTCCTCCAGCTGCTGTTGGAGCCCACTTCATCCTGGGCTGCCAGGGCCAAGCTAGAGAGCACTCTGACCCCTGTCTGGCCTCAAGGCACTGGACTTTGGAATCTCCCTCACTTGCTGGCTCCCTTGGATGACATGTCCCAGCCCCAGAGTCCTGGATCCTGGGCCCACCCCATTCTCTCTCAGCCCCCTGCCCAGCCTACCTCTCCACACACCAGCCGGAGCCCCTCCTCTTCCTCTTGCCACTTCACCCTCAGAGCTGCTGGTGATGGGACTCCGTCTGAGTCAGGCCCTGACTCCTCCTCCCTGTCAACCAATCAGAGAGCGGTGTTCATTGTTCCTCCATTCAGCCAGAGGATACACACGAACAGTCTGAAACCAGAGCCGTGAACTTTCTCCTGAGGAAGGTGGGAGCCAGAAAGTCAGTAGAGGAAAAAGCAAGTCTCCAGAAACTAGAGCTGCCCGGGAACCTCTGCTCTTGGATTCCCCCAGGCCTGGAGTTCCCAGGCCAGGGTCCCCCTCAAGAAGCACCTCCCAACTCTGAGCCCCAGCCCATTCCTGGTTCTCATCTTCGCTCCCTCTTTGGAATAGGTGGCATTGTGCCCTTTCTGTAGGCATCAGGTGGCAAACAGAAAAAGACAGAGGTGTGTGGGCGTGGGAGGACAAATGCAGAGAGACGGACATTCTGAGCAGCTGGCCCCGGGGGAAGGCTGGAGAGCCTGCCTCCCCCTCCCCTGGGCAGCAGCCAAGGGCCACTGAGGTGCCTGGGAGAGAATGAACCCCGCATAGCCAGTGGGGGCAGGGCCCAGGAACAGGAAGCCCATTGTGACCACAAATACAAACACTCACCAGCCGCCCTGGTGGAGAGCCCGAGTGACATCGGTGGGCTCTGGCTGCAGCTTCTCTGAGAACTGGGCCAGCAGCTCCGCTTTCTCTAGGAGACGGTTATCTGCGGGTGCAAAAAAGGTGAGCCTGGAGCACAGACAGACTCTTTCCAGGAGACTCTAGGCATACAAGTTACCTCTCTGGCTGGGAGGGCTGCAGGAGCCGAGGGATGCAGAATTGGGAGCTACTGGCAGGCTGGGCTCTGCCCTTGCCTGAGGGGTGTCTGTGCAGCTCCATCAGGACCTCCAGCCCTTGCACACCCTCTAAGAGCATAGCCCCCAGGCCCTCCCAGGAGAAGACTTGCTCTCCCAGGGACACAGAAGGACGACCACTGCAGGGGAAGGAGATGGCTGGGTACTGCCTGCTGAGGTTCTCAAGGGAAGGAAGGGGCCAGGGGTTGATACCCAGGGCGGGGCCTGTCCCCAGAGAGCGATGAAACAGACTGAGCTCCACTAGCCTGTGGTCTTTGGCAAGATACTTCCCTTCCAGGGGCTCTTTCTGGGCTAAAAAGCAACCCTGACTTCCCCAGGGTTGGTGTAAGGCTCCCCCAAGGCCAGAACAGAAAGTCCTGGAGTTTGGTAGTTTCTGCTACAGACCCTGGAATACAGCCTCTCCACCCCCACCCATGGTCACTTCCTCTTTTCTCACCAGGCCCCGGTAGGGTAGAGATGGTAAGCCCAGGCCTAACTCCTCAGCTCCTTTCCCTATTCCTGTCCGCTACCAGTCACCTAGGTCACCTAGGTCAGTCACCTAGGTTGCTGGCCTTGTTCTCACACAAAACCCCACCCCAACGCTCAGGGAATTGCTCTGCCCCACCCTCACCCCCAGCAAATCTAAAGAAGATGCCATTTTGTCCAGTTTATGAGTGAGAAATAGGAGGCTTAGGGGTATGACCTGCCCAAGACCACAGAGAAGACTGGACTTCCAGTGTCTCTGAGTTCAGCCCTCCAGGATCAGTCCAGTCCCACAGATTTGCAGCTCCCAGGGGATGGGGTTGACTCCCTCAAATTGGACTGTTCCATTGTCCATCAGAGCAGTGGAGAAGTGAGGCTGCCTAGAGGCAGGGGGCTGGCCTCATATACCTGAACGGAGAGGACCTGCAGCCCAGAAGGCTGCAAAGAAATCTCCCAGGACAAGAGCAACAAATTCAGTTGTGGGGCTGGGGGGAGATGGTTAAGCAGCAGCCAAGATTAGGATCAGTGATGAAGCTGGAGGGACTGTGATTAGACTTTTAACCCCCAAACATACAATCTCAGATGACCAGAGGTGCTACACACAGGTGCACACCTGTTCATCCTGGCTTGAACTGCCATACCCCTTCCTGACCAGCTCCGCAGAAACACTATGAGAATCTGACTTCCCCAGGCTCAGCCACCTCCCTCCGCAGCCGGAATCCCCCTGCTTCTCCCTCAGGCTGGGGTTGGTTGGGCACAGAGATGCTCCAAAAACCTGAGCCAGGATCACCTATCAGTGGCAGAGCCTCAGACTCTGAACTGCCTCCCTAGAGATTCAGAGTTTAAAAGTAGCTGCTCTGGACAGCCCCGAGATCTTTCACTGTGCTTATGGGGACCAAATGGACTGACCAGGCTCTACCCCGAGGACGGCCCAAGAAGGGTAAGTCTAAAAGACCCTAAAAATCCAACATTCGCTTATGAAGCCGTGCACAGGAAGCCCAGCCGGTGGAAGGCAGAGCCAGGCCCAGAGGGGCGAGCAATAGCAGGGGCACTAGGAGGGAGCTCCGTCCCGGAGGGGGCTCTGAGCAGAGGCTGGACGGGAAAGGGCAGGAACGCTGGCTAGTCGGAGATAGCGCGTAAGAGACAGCGAGTCCAGCAAGCCCCAGGCTTCGGAGGCGAAAAGGCGTCGGGGCACTTGGGTCACAGACGGAGGGGCCGGACAAATGCTTCCCCGCGCCGGAGCCCTATCCCCTCGACGGCCCCGGGACGCACTGCACTCACAGGCCGGCACCAACTCCAGGAAGAGGGCCTTTTGCGTTCGGTCTCGCTGTCGAAGCTGCCGCACGATGTGGCGTTTCCAGCGGGCGGCTGGGACGCCGGGGTCGCTGGGCCCCGCCATGGCCGCCCTCTCCCGCCTGCACCGCGCGCTCCCCCCGCCCAAGGAGGCGCGGCCGGGCAGGGGCGGGGCTCCAAGGGGACTCCGTGACGTCAGGGGGCGGGCAGCGGCGGGGAAATCCCCGGATTGTACTAAGAGTGGTCTTGGGGGGGAGAACGGAACGAAAATGTGGGGGGGAACCGCCCCAGGCTCTAGACCACCCGGATCCCACAAAAACTCTCATATGAGTGGGGTCTCCTATCGCTGTCGGGGCAGAGAGCGAGGAGCGAGGTCGGAGCCTCCGGGGCGGCTTCCCCCTCGCCTGTTGGCGCGCTCCGCAGGCGGGGCCTCCGGAGCCTGTGTTCCTTAACCCCACCGCGCCCCGGCTGAAGTCAACAGTAACAGACGCTCTGGACCAGGCGGCTCTCTAAACCGGGCACCTGGAGACCACTCCCTCACACCCGGACCCTGCCCTCGAGGCCCTCAAGATCCGTGAGGGGAGGCGACACAGACACAAGGCAGACAATGTATGACAGCGAGATAAGAAAGCACGGAAGAGGAAGGGACTGAAGGGAGGAGGCCCTGCTTTGCGGAGGTGATGGCACTGAGTTGGGTCGTAAGGGAGGCAATAGGCATTGGCCAGGAGGAGAGAGAAACGGATTCCAGGCAGCTGGAAGAACAAATGCAGAGGTTCGAGGGCATAAAAACTTCCAGCAGATTCGAGCCTGGAAGGACGGGAGGCAGAACTGCCCTTGTGGGGAGCAAGGTTTTAGGGTCCAGTTCGTCGCAGAAAATTTAGGACCTTGAGAGTGAAGGAGTGCAGCTGATTTCATCCAGCAAACCCCTGGCCTAGAGGGGAGAAAAGGCTTGCCTGAGATTGCACAGGAGTGGATGGCTGAGCTGGCCTGCAACCCAGTATCAGCAACCCTGACTCAGGGCTCAACCGATCACTCTATTTGGGTGGCCTCTGGAAGAGCAGCAGCATCTCTTACAGGTACACTTGACAGTGAATCGTGGGTTTGCAGGGAACTGTGACAAAACTGCCTCCAGCAAGACCCCTGTGTAGAGCTCTGCAGACAGGATGGTGTGAAGAATGAAAGGAGAGATTTGCTGGAGCCATACAAGCCATGGAGGTGACAGGTTTGTTGAAATGCAGATGGGGATGGGTCACAGGTCTTGGAAAGCTGTAAATGCCAGTGACACCGCAGGAGAGTGTACCCTGCTCTGCTTTGAAACCACAATGAGTTGAGCTCAGTACCCTCTGTGCCACTGTCTTTGACTCTCATATCCTTTGCACATGCTATGTCTGCTGTTTGGAACATCTTTCCCTCTAGTGGGCCTGGCTCCTACTCATAGGTCACCTCCTCCAGAAAAACTTTGTTGCACCTGCACTGAGTTAAGCCTTCTCTGACCTCAGCCTCAGCCCAAGCCTAGCCTGTCTATTGAAGGAGTGGGTGGTGGGTGTTAACATTAACTAGAAGGTGTGCCCAGGAGAAGGGCATGGTACCCACTGGAGGCTCAGGGCCAGTTGACGACAGTGATAAATTCCCTTTAGGACTGACTGACTTGCAGGTGCCTGGGGACACCATCATAGGAGCTTAGGTTGTGCACATTGAAGGGTATATTATTGCTGTGAGGCACAGAGACGTTATTTCTCTCAGTTGGAGAGTCATATTGGGGTGAGGGTTTCCTAACCCTTTTCTGACTCACAAAACACTCCTAGGAAATTTAAAATAATTTTGTCATTTTTCGATAGTATATGATAAAGAAGTATTTGATTTTGGCTAAAAATATTTATTTTTTATCTTTAGAATATGAAAAGTTGGGACTTCCCTGGTAGCACAGTGGTTAGGAATCCGCCTGCCAATGCAGGGGACACAGGTTCGAGCCCTGGTCCGGGAAGATCCCATGTGCCGTGGAGCAACTAAGCCCATGCGCCACGGAGCAACTAAGCCCATGCGCCACAACTACTGAAACCGACGCGCCTAGAGCCTGTGCTCCGCAACAAGAGAAGCCGCCACAATGAGAAGCCCCCGCAGCCCAACGAAGAGTAGCCTCCGCTCGCCGCAACTAGAGAAAGCCCACGTGCAGCAATGAAGACCCAACGCAGCCAAATAAATAAATAAATTTATAAAAGAAAAAATATGAAAAGTTGTATTATAAAATTCGCTTTTTAAAATTTTAGGTAATATTCATAATATATGAAGGCAAATTTCTTTTTTTTTAATTTATTTTTTAATTTTTGGCTGCCTTGGGTCTTCATTGCTGCACACAGGCTTTTTCTAGTTGCGGCGAGCATTGCAGTGCACAGGCTTCTCATTGCGGTGGCTTCTGTTGTTGCAGAGCACAGGCTCCAGGATCGCGGGCTTCAGTAGTTGCAGCACATGGGCTCAGTAGTTGTGGCTTGCGGGCTCCAGAGCGCAGGCTCAGTTGCTCCACGGCATGTGGGATCTTCCCAGACTAGGGCTCGAACCCGTGTCCCCTGCACTGGCAGGCGGATTCTTAACCACTGCGCCACGAGGGAAGCCCTAAAGACCTACTGTTTTTTAGAATGTAGTTTGAAACTTGCACCTGGGTTAGGCATCTCCCAGCAGGCAAAGTGATTATTTAAAAGCCTAAATCAGTTCTTGTTACTCTACTTAAAACCCTTCTAAGGCTTTTCAGCATATTCAAAGCAAATCCCTAAACCTTTTCTGTGGCCTTCAAGGCCCTGCTTGGTCTGGCTCCTGCTCACATGTCTGACCTTACCTCTTTCTACTCTTTGATAAAACCTTATTCACAGCACTGAAATCACTGCCAAACTCAGTCCTACTGTGGAACCTTTGACCTGGCTAATTCCTATTCCTGGTGCTCTTCCTCCTGAACTTTTAGGGACTGACTCCTGCCCACAAGTCAGATTTCAGAAGGCCTTCGCTGTTCACCCAATCTGAAATAGCTCCCATCCCAATTAATGTCTACAAATCATCCAGTTGTTGTTCCTTTCGGAGCACTTATCACTCTCAGAAAGGATCATGTTTCTGTGTTTGTTTTGTTGTGTATGGCCTATCTCTCCGATCAGGCTGGAAGCTTCAGCAGAGCCAGGACCAAGTCAGCCTTGATCCCAGCTCTGTCTTCAAACACCTAGAACAGGGCCTGGCATCAACTGACTAGGTGATCAGTAAATATTTACTGCTGTTGCTGTTATCAAAAATATACAAAAACAGGGACTTCCCTGGTGACACAGTGGTTAAGAATCCACGTGCCAATGCAGGGGACACGGGTTTGAGCCCTGGTCTGGGAAGATCCCACATGCCGCGGAGCAGCTAAGCCCATGTGCCACAACAACTGAGCCTGCGCTCTAGAGCCCGCGAGCCACAACTACTGAAGCCCGCGTGCCTAGAGCCCATGCTCTGCAGCAAGACAAGCCACCTCAATGAGAAGCCCGCACACTGCAATGAAGACCCAATGCAACCAAAAATAAAATTAAAAAAAAATATATATATATATATACACACACACACACACACACACACAAAAACAGCTCTCATGACTCAGTACTTAGAAGTTTTGAATTCAAAATTGTAACCATTTTTAACTGAAAAATAAATCACATGCCTGTAGCCAAAAATTCAAATAGTCTAAGAGTGAGCCTCTTCACTTCACACCTTCATATTGGTTAGCATAGGACAGACTATTCAGTGGTCTTTTGGTTATCTATTACTTAATACAACTATTTCTTAATAGCTCTCATGATTCTGAGTGTTGCCTGAGCTCAGATGATTCTTGCTTTGAGTCTCTTACATGGTCGTAGTCACAACCAGGACTGGAACCATATGAAGACTCAGCCGGGTTGGTCGCTAATAATGGCTCACTTATTTAGCCAGCAGGAGATGCTGGCTCTTGGCTGGAAGGTGGATTCGAGCTGAAAACCTGAAAACGAAAGCCCTACATGTGGCCCCACCACATAGCTTAGGTTTCTCAGAGCCCGGTGGCTAGATTCTGAGAGGATGCATCCCAAAACAAGCATTCCAACAGACAGCAAGAAAGCTACTGGTCTCTTAAGCCTTGACCCCAGAAGCTAACACAGCATCACTTTCTCTGCATTCTACTGGCCGAAGCAGTCCCAGTCCAGGCCAGATTCAAGGACAGAGACCCCAGCTTTCAGTGAAAGGAGTGTCAAAGAATTTCTGGCCATCTTTAATCCACTATATGTGGTACCAAATAAACCTTCAAATCTCAGTGGCTTAAAACACAAAAATGTATGTCTCCTTCACATTCCAGTGTGGGGTAGACCATGTGGCGTACTATTCTCCTTCAACAGTGACTCAGATCCAAGCTGCTTCCTCCCAGCATCTCCATCATCTCAGAGTTCTTTGATCCCAACTGTTCGGATGGGAGAGAGGTTAGGGGTGGGGGTGGGGGGGAACATTCACACTGATACTTAATTGCCTTGGACCTGAAGTGACACATTCTTCTGCCCACCTCCTCGTTGGTGAGATCACATCTACTAGGAAGGCTGGAAAATGTAGTCTCCCCTGTTCCCTGGAAGAGAAAAATGGGTGTGAACGCATCATTATTGCTGATACACACCAATGTCCCAGTCTCCTTCTCTAGAAGTATCACCATGAACAATTTAGTGTGTATCCTTTCAGAAATATTTATATATATATGAGACTATAAACACACATGTAGCATTTACACGCTGTTCCACATTTGCTTCTTTATGTAACTATATTTTCAATGTCTTGCAGAACTTTCCATATCAGACTACATAGATCTACATCATTCCTTTTTTTTTTTTTTTTTTTGTTTTCACATCATTTTTTTTTTTGTTTAAAAAAATTAAACAATGACTATCAAAATCTTTTTTTACTTTCAGGAAATTTGAGGATTTCTTTTGAATTTTAGAATTTTATTTTTTTATACAGCAGGTTCTTATTAGTTATATATTTTATACATATTAGTATATATATGTCAATCCCAATCTCCCAATTCATCACACCACCACCACCCCGCCACTGTTCTCCCTTGGTGTCCATACATTTGTTCTCTACATCTGTGCCTCTGTTTCTGCCCTGCAAACCGGTTCATCTGTACCATTTTTCTAGGTTCCACATATATGCGTTAATATACAATATTTGTTTTTCTCTTTCTGACTTACTTCACTCTGTATGACAGTCTCTAGATCCAACCACGTCTCTACAAATGACCCAATTTCATTCCTTTTTATGGCTGAGTAATATTCCATTGTATATGTGTACCACATCTTCTTTATCCATTCGTCTGTCAATGGGCATTTAGGTTGCTTCCATGACCTGGCTATGTAAATAGTACTAAAATGAACATTGGGGTGCATGTGTCTTTTTGAATTATGGTTTTCTCTGGGTATATGCCCAGTAGTGGGATTGCTAGGTCATATGGTAATTCTAGTTTTAGTTTTTTGTTTGTTTTGTTTTGTTTTGTTTTTGCGATACGCGGGCCTCTCACTGTTGTGGCCTCTCCCGTTGCAGAGCACAGGCTCCAGACACACAGGCTCAGCGGCCATGGCTCATGGGCATAGCCGCTCCATGGCACGTGGGATCTTCCCAGACTGGGGCACGAACCCGTGTCCCGTGCATCGGCAGGCAGACTCTCAACCACTGCGCCACCAGGGAAGCCCTACTTTTAGTTTTTTAAGGCTGTATCAATTTACATTCCCACCAACACTGCAAGAGGGTTCCCTTTTCTCCACACCCTCTCCAGCATTTACTGTTTGTAGATTTTCTGATGATGCCCATTCTAACTGGTGTGAGGTGATACCTCACTGTACTTTTGATTTGCATTTCTCTAATAATTAGCGATGTTGAGCAGCTTTTCATGTGCTTCCTGGCCATCTGTATGTCTTCTTTGGAGAAATGTCTACTTAGGTCTTCTGCCCATTTTTGGATTGGGTTGTTTGTTTTTTTAATATTGAGCTGCATGAGCTGTTTATATATTTTGGAGATTAATCCTTTGTCCGTTGATTTGTTTGCAAATATTTTCTCCCATTCTGAGGTTGGCTTTTTCTCTTATTTGTAGTTTCCTTTGCATTGCAAAAGCTTTTAAGTTTAATTAGGGCCCATTTGTTTGTTTTTGTTTTTATTTCCATTACTCTAGGAGGTGGATCAAAAAAGATCTTGCTG